CAATTAACAGGCATATCGATCTTCCTGATGCCTACCTCGCGTTGCGCGAGCAAATCGAGGGCAGAAGTCAATGCCGGCAGAACCGAGATAAATACATTGTGAGCTGTACGTCTTTTCACCCCTTGACCATGAGCTCGCGGGAGGGTTCGAAACGTCGGACAAGTACACTCCTGGTCCCAGATAACGTCTTACCTTCTTCTATTCAGTTACCTGGGTTTCGCATATTCTCGACCACACACCCTGTCATATTACCGTGAAGCACCGTGCATATCACTCCGCGACGCTCCGGAAGACACATTAACGCAGCACCGCGTACCAAAGTAAAATCTCTTCGAGGTCAGTAAACGGAATTAATCGACATACACAAGGCGCCCCGGGATATAAGGCACGCACTGTCGTTCTTTTAGAAAATTAAAGGCTTCTAAGTGAGCCTTACAGTCCGGAAAATAGGGTACCTGAGAAAAGTGTGACTTGCGTTTGAAAACAAATACAGTTGCGATTACGGAATACTTTTGACTCGTTACACTTGTGTCCAAGGTTTCAAAATTGCATGCTGTATACAGTTCAGCTAAGAAAAAACACGTCTCTCTACGCTCTGAGAAAGCTGTCACCGAGTGCTCATTACGGGTTGCAATGGATTTGATCACATTACATACCTTTTAAGCAGCATTTATAAACGAACCGATACGAGGCTTTAGGAATATACATTTCACAATCTAGATCATTCCCTTTGCTGGAAACATTTTTAAACAGCGAGGCATTTTCCTCAAGCATAACGTTTGAAGAAGACACACTCGATACCAAACTATTACAAGAGAAAACGCCTTTGCGCATATTTTTCATTAAATATATTTCGGTCTACACTTGTGGCCTATAATATAGTGATCTACTCCGAGTTTGACTAATTTCTGTGGAAATTTTAAAAAAACTTCGCAATACGTAGGCAGTAGTTTCGCATTGTTGATTTCTCTACTGGTGAAAAAATCGTCCAAAGGCCGAAATCGTGACCTGAGTTAAAGATCGTGGGATAAGTGTGCACCGTAATAAATGTTAGAATTATACTTATGCCACATCGACCAAAAGAAACCGTTCGGAAATTCGCTTGATATTTCATACGATACACAACCGACCGTACGCAACCAGGCGCTAACTCCCCCTCTCCGACGTCTGCCCTTATGACACCCGGTGACAGAAGGTTGCCCGATGAGAGCGAACGCACTTAATTAATGTTCGTGCTCCGGTTCTTAGGGTTACCTTTAAACATAATCCGCTGACACAGATCCAACTAAATTCGTGCAAGACGACTTAATTTGTGCTCGGCTATGTGTCTTGGTAGATTTAACTGATTCAGTGCAGTAGGACCCGAACTCACAAAGACGAGGGCAAAACTTGACTATAACCAACGCTCTAATCACTTGAACCGAGAGTTCTCGACTGAGAGGTGACAGAATCGTTAACACAATTTTTAAGTGCTATCATCGTCGGCTACCTGCAGTCCAATCAGTTTCATTTCTGACCAAATATTAGCTGCAGTACTACTGGCCTCGAGTTGAGAGTGCGGAAACCAAGGCAAACGCAGCTTTGTCCAGGACCCCAAGCGTGTACCCCAGATAGTTAAACTCAGATTCACATTTCTTGTTGAGATCAAGGGGATATGAGCCCAAGCGTTGGCTTAGTCAGCGTCACCGCTGACAAATGATGGCATCACTGCTAGCACCAGTACTATAACACGGGATATGAAACCTGTGCTGACTTAAACCAGCATCACTTCTGACTCACAATACTATCTGAAATAGTACTAGCAAAAATATCACTCAGCTGCACACTAGTAGTAGCATTAGAAATAGCAGTAGTGGCAGTAGCAGTACGAGCCCCGGCTTCTTATAATCGGGCTAGACAGTGCAGTAGTACCCGTGTCAATAAAGACTAAGTTAGGTGGTGTTTCTGGCTGCATCTGGAGAAAGCGGCTTATGCCTGATTCCTGCTCGGTCATCTCGAATTTGTCTTGTCACCGGTTTAAAGCGGATGAAGGTTTGGAGTCTCTTTTTCCTCCCTCTCGGCCGCCAGACATCACTTCGGATCACGCCGCCCTAGCGGAAGGTCGTGTGTTCCGAA